TTATGTTTTTTTTAAAAAATACCTACTCAACTACTCAACAGTCTCATTTAAAAGAATGATACAAACTCTAGATTTTCACGGCTCCGTTTGTTGCTGACGCGGGGCACGCACCAAAACGCATCTATGACATGACAGGGCCACAAGATGCATTGTCTTTTTGTTTGTTTGTTTGTTTGCTTGTATTGTCTCTATAAAATTCATCAACAATGCAACAAAGTTTGGGATTTGTGCAGTTCCCCCCCCCCCTCCCTCCAACTTTATTATTATTTTCGTCGCCCTTTCAATCAAAGCTGTGATAAATTAAAAAAAAAATAATTATAATTATTTTTCTTTTTACAAACCTTGTTCAATCTCAGTCAGCTCACCGCTGTCCGAAAGTCCAAGAATTTTTTCCATATAGCCATGCCCGTAAGCTTCAATCGGGTATGCGGGCTGCCCATGCTTAGTAATATCCAAACCTGATATGAGAAGAAGAAGAAATGGAAAAAGGAACTGCTAGTGCCAGCATTATTTTTGGTCACGTGATCTACAAATAATCTGTTCCCCATGTATGAGCAATGGGTATTCAAAACACCAAAAGGCGCCATTTAGATTTCTACCAAAAAGGTCAAAATCTGTTCCTGAAAATGTTGAAGGGTTATTGCAAGAGAAATATAGTGTCGACGAAAGCAGACAACGGTGAATATCTATTACATATTATACCCTCTCTCTCTCTCTCTCTCTCTCTCTCTCTCTCTCTCTCTCTCTCTCTATTGTACTTTAATTGGTGTGTTGTTTCTATCTCATGTCACGTTCCCATTCTCTCCATCTTTATATTTTCTTAGTTTCCTACTCTTCTTCTCCCTCTTTTATCTATGTCTCTTCCCCCTTTAAATTGACTCAGAGTTTCTCTATGATTTCCTCCTCTCACATTTCTCTTCCTTCAAATGTTTATGAATGACTCTTCCTCTCCCTCCCTCCCACTCTCTCTAGCTCTCCCTTTATCTCTCTCTATCCCTTTCTCTGTCTCTCTCTTGTGTCTCTTTCACTCACATTATAACAATACATATTTATAAACTAGAAATTACCCGCCAAACAATGGCGGCGGCATTGCATGGAACTACCCATCCACTGAAGTCTTTCGACAAAACATGTTTTGAAGTAACGCGCTACATAAAAATCCCAATCCGTGTCAACTCCTGGAAATTTTTATTATCAGGCACCTATTGAACACAGCATTACAGCCATGCATACATACCTAGAGAATTATTATCGGTGATACCAAAATTGATTTCCATTCATATTTGTAATTCGCAATAACTAACTCACTTAAGAAAATCAGCAAACTATCGAGCCAGAGCTCATAAAGTCTCCCCCCAGCGCCATAGCCCGCTAACCCGACCGGCCCTCAACCACTCCCCCAGTGGTCTTTATTCCAGTCGGGCCTCGAAGCGGCACGTCGGGAGCATTCCGCCCATGAGACAGCCACACTCACCCTTCCACTCGATTGACGATGCGAGCAGGGCAGCAACAGAGAAGGAACTCCTGGCCGGCCAGGGTGCTGCTCTCACAGCAACCGGGCCGGATTTTCTAGGGGCTGGGGTGGATATATTTTACGTCTCTAAGTCCCCCTCCTCCTTCCCACCCCGGGGGACTGTAAATCGCACTAAAATACTTGAATGCTATGAAAGTACACTTGCCGTCAAAAGAAAATCAAATCAATTTCAACATTATGAAAGATTGTAAGTAACGTAAGTGGGGAAATCCAATGTTTTTTTGGTAAAGTGAAATATCGAAATCAGATGTGGGTCACAAGGACCTACCATTTATTTCAACGTCACGGGGCACTCTGAAGAGACCGAGGAGCCTCAAGGCACCAAAGACGATGGTCATGCAAGCGGCAGTCCAGGCCATGTAGGTCAAGACGCCGGACAGCTGCCACGCAAGCCTCTGGATAAAAAAAAACAACAACTGTTAGAGGACATTGGTCAACAACTCAATAGGAATTCAATGATCGAGTTTATCAGAAGACAAGAAAGCTTGCGGTACTAAAAAAAGAATAAAAGGTTTTGGCATTTCTTTTTAATTTTGAGTGACGACCGTTTTAACCAGTGGGGTGAATAGAGTTTTTTGTCAAGCATTTCATTTTGCAAAACCCCCATGATCGAAAACCGCAATACCTACAAAATAAACATAAAATACAATATATTTTGCAGACGGCTCCCAGCCCCTTTCCTGCTCCCATGGCTGTAGTGCCTCGCTTTCAAATAGCCTTTCTTTTTTGGTTGTGGTCGCATATTATTATGTATTCAATACCCATAATCCAAAGATCAAGACTTACCGCCCCTGCTTGTCTGTCCCAAGCCATGAGAATCCCCGTCGGGTACTTGACGAAGGCGACACTTATGGCGCCCCACATGCCTCCCCCGAAGTGAACTGTAGAAAAACCCCCCAAAAAAACAACATAAAGTGGAATGTCAGGGATTGAATTCCTTGGTCAGATCATTGATCTGTTTTGTGAGTTTGGTTGATGCCACAGAAGGTAACGCTTCGTAGACATGGCGTCCAATAAGATTATCGGGTGTTTACGTGATGTGTTAGCATGATGTGTTTGCATGAGGTGTTTGTAGGAGGTGTTTGTAAGAGGTGTTTGTAAGAGGTGTTTGTATTAGGATTTTATAGGATTTTACTCCAATTTGGGGACACCGGTTGAACACCCCCACCCCCCCACTCACCCTGAACGATGCCATATCACTATATCTACACCACATGAGCATGTACTCTGCAATCACAAAGTAAGATGCATGTCGGCGCCACCTGAAAGTCTTCGAGAGTCAATAATCAGAGTGCCTCCGTTCGTTCTGGAGACATTGTGAATAAATTGCACCGATTCTACATACCTCCAACGGCGTTCAGGGGATCGTCGATTTTCAGCTTGAACATGAGGATCTCAACGCAGTTCATGACCATGGCAGCCACGAAGCCGACAATGACGGCTCCCCAAGGCTTCATGGAGTTGCAAGGGCCACAGCTCGCGACCTGCTCACGTTCGTAGACAAAGTAAAAAGCGTGCAGAATCAACAACAACAACTCACGGGGGGGGGGGGGTGGGGGGGGTGGGGGGGGTGGGAGTGACGACAAACAGTTTTTACACCCCGAAAGCTTGTCGTGAGTAATGCTCCCAGTTCACGCTGAAAATAGGGTTTGTCATTTAAAGTGCGGAAATCTCTTTCATCTCCCGCGTGCTCGGGTCGGACAAAATGTCAACACTGTTCAGTACCACTGTATTAGCGAAGGGGACATTAACCTAACTCAAAACTTGGTTACAACTATACTTTACGAAATATTTTACACAGTTATTTTTTTTTACTGCTATGCTGTGAAATGGGACTTCATTGCCTCGTACGGCAAGTGTACCAGTGGCCCTAGATGCAAGGATCATCCTAACGATATGCTGAAGCCACACGATTAGCTGCTCGTGTTTTAAGCAATACTTGTCCGACGTTCTAAAAAATAGTTACGCTATGACGTTTCCCCTTTCTTAGAAATGACAAGCCCTATAGTCTCGAAAGCAACAGGGTAGTAGTACAGCGTAATAAAACGCAGAGTTACGGTTTTATAACATAACAACTAAAATACCCCCCCCCCCCCTAAAAAGCAACAAACAAAACAAAGTTTTTCTCATAAATCCTTTATATGCATTTTTTTGTAATTGTTCTTCATTTATCATTAATGTGATTGTTGCAACTGATTTTTTTTGGGTATGGGAATGTCCTTCATCTTCCCCTAGAAAAACAGGAAAAAACACATTTTTGGGGGCTGGGGCTGAAAATTTGAAAGTTTGTGTTGTTATCGGCAACGAGTCTATAATGCCAAGTTTCAGCTCGATAGGATGACAGGAAGTGGGTCAATTAGCCGTCCGAAGATTTGGCCCCAAAGAAAGAATCAGACGAACAAAAGCGAAGATAATATAAATGATTTGAACAGAGACGCAGTCTTACCATGGCGGCGAAGCAGCCGTTGATAACCTGTGGCATGCTCCAATGATTGCCAAACAATCCGAACCTGTGGAGGAATTTAAAAAAAAAACACTATTTTTTTAATACTGATGTGGGAAAAAAAATCGATCTATCAAAGACGAGTTTAAACGTACTAGAAAAAAAAAGTTGAACATAATTTACAACTTCTTAAATGCATAGCGCAAAGAGAGTCTGTGCGGAAATGTAGATGAGCACTATCTGCAGCCGTGGAAAGCCTGTACAGAAGTATAGATGAGCACTATATGTAGCCAAGGAAAGCCTGTTCAGAAGTATAGATGAGGACTATATGTAGCCAAAGCAGTTGAAAGGAATGTAGACAAAACTTAAATAGGCTTTATTTTTATAAAACAAATAGAAAATATTTACTCACAGACTTTTATTTGCCTAATATATATATATAGATGTGTAATGTATATCTATATATATCTATATCTATATCTCTCTCTCTCTCTCTGTCTCTCTCTCTATATATATATATATATATATAATTGATATAAACTTACTTGTTTGTGAAAAGGGCGGTCATACCTCCCATACTAGCGCAGATAACTGTGTTGAACACGGCCATACTTATGGCACCACCGTCCCCTGGCTGGGAAATATGACCTTGAGAAGCTGCGTTGAAGGCCATGAAACCGAAGAACAGAACGAATATTCCCATGACAGCCAGCTAAAAAGGGGAGGGGGGTGTAAATAAATAGAATGTGTAGTGTCATTCCACCAGTACACAAATGACAGCATGTGTGTAGCTGGTGTCATTCAGTCAACACATCAAATGTAAGCATGTGTGTGTAGCTAGTGTCATTCAGTCAACATATCAAATGTCAGCATGCGGGTAGCTGGTGTCATTCATAGTCAACACATGAAAGGACAGCATGTGTGTTTTGGTTCTCTCGTAAAAATACTATAACTAAGAAAGTTACTACCCTACTTAGCTTTAATTCAAAACGTTATAGTTATCTTTTAATTTAAAAAAACCAACTATATTTTTTTCATAACTGCCAATTTTACCGGCAGCGAGTGGCCTCTAATGGGCAGGACAGCTCCCGTCTTTTGATGGAATCTACCGATTCGAGGGCCCAAGATGATTGCGCCAACCAAGCCAGCGGTCCCGCCTGTCAGGTGGACCACACCACTGCCACCGAAATCCTGGAAGAAGATAAAAAAAAAACAAGAAAAGTTTTAGTAACTTTTTAAGGTTTCAATGTTTTTAAGCATTTGTTTATAGAGTATAGTATCGATTGAATTAATTTAAGAAAAGGAAAATATTATAAAGGATGATATCATCTCTGAATAAAACCTGTAGCATCTTCACGATTCCGAAGTGACGTTAGTCAGATTTAAAGTATCAACGGAACAAATTGTAAAAGATTTGTGATGCACATGTCGTCATCGCGTTTCAATACCTCGTACTTGATGTGCGCTGATCTACCGTCTTCGATTTCGAACGTGTGTCCGATGTGTAGGTACCCGTAGGGCGACCACCCCCAGCGTGTGCAGAACGGATACACCAGGGCTAGAAAGAAAAAAAAACACCCCGAGGGAATTAAGTAATAAGTTAAGCAGTTTAACGTTAAACTCTATGATTATTTTTTTTTTTAAAGTCCATTTAAAAGTTATGATTTTGAAAATAAAAGCTGACAAAAGATTTTTTTTTTTTTTTTTTTTGGGTTGAAGTACCTGTGAGGAAGAAGCTGTAGATCAGGTACGCGTGGAAGTTGCATCTCTCGGCCAGGGATTATTTTTTTTTTTAAAGCCATTTAAAAGTTATGATTTTGAAAAAAAAAAGTGAAAAAAGATTTTTTTTTTTTTTTTTTTGGGTTGAAGTACCTGTGAGGAAGAAGCTGTAGATCAGGTACGCGTGGAAGTTGCATCTCTCGGCCAGGGAGCCGGACACGATCGTGCAGGCCGTGGAGGCGAACATGACCTGGTAGAAGTAGTTGGCCATCTGGCCGTTCTCCATGTACGACGACGCGAAGTTCGTCCAGCCGACGAAGCTGTTCCCCTCTCCGTAGGCCAGACCGTAGCCGATCGTCCAGTAGGATATGCCAGCAACAACTGAGTGAAGACGCGGGGGGATGAAATGAAGATGTACAGTGTCAGGCATTAACAAAAACAATTGGTATATTGTGGGAAATGTTTATTGCATTGCACATTCTTTATTTACGAATTTTAGCTTAGCCCGCCAAACATAGGCGACAGCACCGCGTGAATTTAGAAACTAAAATTACATAATAAAATATGAACTCAAGTAACGCACATTTCAGACTCCCAATTTTTGCTACACCCCTCCCCCCCCCTCCTTTTCCCAAGATACGTCGCTGCCCACTTTTTATTTTACGCCCATGAACTATGTTAATATTCTGATGTCCTAACCACTTTTACACCGAATATTTAATACCGCATATTTAAATTGAGATGATCTCATTTTCCGCAAAGAAAGTATTACCCCCTCCTTTTCCCAAGATACGTCGCTGCCCACTTTTTATTTTACGCCCATGAACTATGTTAATATTCTGATGTCCTAACCACTTTTAAACCGAATATTTAATACCGCATATTTAAATTGAGATGATCTCATTTTCCGCAAAGAAAGTATTAAGCACCAAACGCATTTGTGTATTTAAAAAAAGTCATTTATCGTAGTAATCGGGAATTATATTTGGCGCACTATCCGGAAATGGAAACAGCCACACCAAAAGAGCAACAGGTATATTATTATTTATAAAATGTTCCTCAATTTGTTTTTTAGGCAGCTAAGTAATGTTTGTACTTTTATTTTAACAAAAATTAATCGATACTTTAATACACATTGGAGTTTTATTTTAATTACAAAGAATTTGAAATCTTGATAACTTAATAGGTCACTAATTTATGAAAAAATGTAATCTAATAAAAATTAATAGAAAAAAATGCCAAAAATATAATTTTAAAAATTTGATGAAAAAAAAGAAGACATTTCGTAAATATGCATTGCTGGATTTATCAAGGAGTAGGGGCTTAACTATGGACAACCCCCCTCTGCCACCTCCCTAGTCCAGTGACAAGGACGCCACGACATCTCCACCCTTCTATTATTTAAAAGAAAATCCAAGATAAATAAAGACTATTTTTAAAAAAATAACCAAATAGCCTCCGACATAAACGTTAAACATTCACTTGCAGGCGTCCATAATAAATAGCCTCAAACCATAACGTTTAACATTCATCTACACACGTGCATGAGAAATTAAATAGCCTCAAACATAAACGTCACAAATTCACCGTTAGGCGTCCATAATAAATAGCCTCAAACACAAACGTCACAAATTCACCGACAGGCGTCCATCATAAATAGCCTCAAATACAAATTTTAAACAAAAAAGTCTTACATGCGTCCAAGAAGTTCTTCAGCAGAATGTTGTGTGTGTTTTTGCTTCTCACGCAGCCAGCCTCGACGAAGGCGAACCCCATGGTCATCACTGACGATGTAAACAAAAAAACAAAACAAACGTTCAAGGTCAAATCAGTTGTAAACCGTCATTTCGACGATTTATTGTGCATGCATGAATATTGGGTTGTTAATACTGGTGTAGTCGTGCCAGGGCACACATTTTTTTTTTGCTAGGGTTTCACAAAATGGGAGTAAATGATTTAATGTTAGGTCAAGCTTGATTGAACATCAAATTGGTGCGATTGAGGTAGGTAATTAATTTTTTTTAAAACTTCTTGGCATAGTATGCTAAGGGCTTAACTGGGTGCAATTATTTTAAACCCGGTCTGAGAGTTTTGAAAAAATACCCGGTGGGCCCAAATGATACGGACAAAAAAAGAGTCAACTTCTCATTTTCTATAAGATGTGCCTTTAAATAATAGGCCTACCGACAGTCCTACACCCTACCCGCCGGCCTTTAAACACTTGTCCAAACCCATGGCTCTTTATTGATTAATGTATTAGACGCCTTACACAGGATCATGATGCCGTAGGTCAGGGTGTAGAAATTGTCCAAGTTCGACGCCAGGTTGTCGAAGAGGTAGTTGAGTTCGTCCAGTGATCGTGGAGTCGCGCCCAGAGTCGTCCCTCGCTCCAGGTGAGTCGAGTTGAAATCGTGTGACACGGTTGGGGTTGTTCCGTTGAGCGCCATGGTTCGATTCCCTGGGAGAGCAAAGTTTTGAATATTGGCCCTGCACAAGGTTCCATTAAATGTATCTTTTGTTTAAGTAGAGCGTGTGAAAACTTAAATGCTAGATGACCCTGAGAATAGCAATGCATAGCCTTGAAAAAATAGAAAGTTACGAAATTCAAAATCAAAATACCTTTTTCTTTCTTTTTTTTTTTTTACAGTGCAAAGTGCACAACTAAAAAAGAAAGAAAAAACAACAAACAAAATAAACTTTACTTTATTTAAAATTTGTGTTTTCGTGTCGTAACATGCAAGTCACAGATACGATGGGCTTACTAGCAGGAGTGCTTGTGGGTGAGTGGGAGGAAGGCGTTAGTGGCGCTGCACATAATTTTGTGCTCAATCGGGTCGCACTGTCCCGTTAAAACGACAGCCGGGTAACTATTTAGTTGTTTTTTTTTTTTTTTATAGATTTGATTGGCTAAAACATTGATTTGTCATCTGGGGGTCACGTCGATTGCTTTTCTTAACGTCTTAGTCAGTGTTAACCCCAATACCTTGAATGCGTTTAAACCAGCGACGTGTGATGTTTCGCCTGAATAAACAACTTCAGGACAACACACATTATTTTGTAACAACGTATTATCCTTTTGCGTTGTCAATGCCTTCATTCCTTTCGATGCTGTGCGCCAATGTCACGGGTGAGTTTTTATTTTCGACAACATCACCGCACAGATAACAAAAACATATTTAAAAAAAGATGATTTTTTGTTGCGTGTAGACAAAAAACAGACAAACGATAAACACGAAACGATATATCAGAGGCGAGGCTATGGAAATGGGGGGGGGGGACAGGAAGGGACAGATGTCCCTTTGCCGCCAGACTAGTTCGGGGCGCAACAATGCGTTTTGATATTATTTAGCACAGATAACAAAAACATATTTAAAAAAAGATGATTTTTTGTTGCGTGTAGACGAAAAACAGACAAACGATAAACACGAAACGATATATCAGAGGCGAGGCTATGGAAATGGGGGGGGGGGGACAGGAAGGGACAGATGTCCCTTTGCCGCCAGACTAGTTCGGGGCGCCACAATGCGTTTTGATATTATTTTTTGAATGAAAATAATGGGTTTAAGTGTTGAAAAAAAACAAACAAAAAACAAGAAAGGAAGGGGCTTTAAAATGAATCTTGTTCCCCCGGGCGCCAACCATGCTGCGAGACATGTACTTTTATGTTTCAATATTTTTTAACATCTTATGTGTGGTCATAAAGATATACGAGTGCTGGCATCGATGTTCCCGCTTGCACAAACAAACACAATCTTGGGGAAAACACACTGAATTTCAAAGTGTACACATATTAAAGCCTTTCTAAATGTGTTTAGCAACTGTTTAACCTCTGGTCAAATTTGTTAAATTCACTTCTTGTGCTCGGCAAAATTCGTAGCGTTTGCTTCATCTCATGTGCGCGCAAATAAGCTCTCTATGCTATGCCTGCAAAGTTTTGTTCAGAGTACCCAAGAGGAAACATTGCATGCCTCCGAAATTTTGGATCGAGATCTTTGAGGAATAGTGCCGCAGGGAGGCCTGATCCGGAAAGGGGGGGGGGGGGGGGGATGGGGTTGCCCGTCCCCAAAGCATTTTTTCCCTTTATATTTAAAAAAGGGCGGGGGCAAATTTGGAAATGTGGGTTTATTTGCGGAAGGGGTGGTATAAGATTTATCCCGCCCCGAGTGGCTCTTACCAACCTATGCCTCTGTTGGGGAATTGTGTACAAATCTATAAATCCCAGAGTGCCTACCTTTGTAGTGAAGTGTCCTTTTTCTCGTCCAAATCTTTCTAAGACGTTGCCTCCTGACCTAGAAGTCCGAGTTTTTGAGAGGGGTCCAAGCTCCGGAAGCAGTTTAGCATATACTCATGACCATGGACGGAGCAACGGTGAGAGGTCGTCTTGCTACAACGAGACAACATGAAGATCGTCCAGGACTTGAGGGGGTCAGTCAGTCTTGTGTCAGCCAGAAGCTGCGACTTGGGAGCGAAGGGCTAAACTCCGGGTTTGACAGATGAACATGACCCAATGAATCAAGCTTGTATTTATACCTATCCGTTGGCCAATTTTTTTAAGGAAAACTCGTTAAATCTGGTCGGTGAAAACTTAGTATTCACCCCTCCCCCCCCCCTTCCCCTTTTCCACCCCCAGACACAAAATTGCCACCACTCCGACACGGTTATACCCCCCCACACCCTTTCACCAAAGTTAATTTTCGATTCATATATCACACGAACATTATTTATTACGCATGCTCATTAGTGACAAACCACTGGACTGATGGGTTGAGTTGAACGGCCAAGATTTAGAGCGACTTTAAAAAGAAAAAAAAAAAAAAATTATGGAGAAATCTGGTTCCACCTGGTCGCCATGCACCAATGCTTAATTTAGACGCTTGTACCCTTCATCTTTCACCTGTGATCACCCGTGGAGTCAAAATGGGGGTTACCGATATGAACTGAAATGTCACGGGACAAGCCTTTGGGATTTATTTTTATAATTATTATTTTTTTTTTTTAAATAGCGTTTGTTCAAAGGAATTATAATAAGAAAACGGCAGACAGGATTACACTTTTTTCCTTAAAAACAACAACAATAACAACAAAAAACCCAGCAGTAACACCAACAACAAAACAACTGCAACAACAAAACAACTGCAACCACAAAAACAACAACAACAACAACAAAAACAAACACAAACAGACGAAACTAATTTATTAAGGGGTCCTCAAAACATAAAAATAAACACACAAACAAATAGTATAGTGTTAATTTAATTTTAATTGTAAAAAGGCAAATAGGATACATTTTTTTCTTCATGAAAAAAATCAACAAAAACTACAAACCAATTCAAGAATTCGGCACCAAAAAAAAACAAAAAAACTATATATACAGTATACATATTGTTGATT